TTGTGTTCTCCTGATCTCTTCTCTATATAAACACACTCCAAATTTTCATATGAGCAAGTTGCGTCCATAAAATAGGATTTTCTTAGCACTTCCTCGATTCCCATTGAATCCCAGATAAATGCCACGTCTAGGAAGGGAAGCTACACAAGATGAGCTTCTTTAGAATGCTCACTGGACCAAAGATGTGGACAACTTGTTCATAGACCTCCTCGCAGAGGCACATGTTGCTGGGGAATAGAGACAGGGCAGGCCAGGTACTCATGTCTTCCTTTACTGCCATGGTGTATTGGTTGCAGATGTCGGTGCAACCTTCACTGTGAATGAGCTACAGGAACGGTTCAATTTCCTTCACAAACGGTTCCGTGTTTTTAGTTGGATGCTTTTAAAACATGGGTTGCGCCACTGTGTCCTGTCAAACGTCCTCACGGCTCCGGTAGCAGTGTGGAATGATATCTTCGAGGTACTCGCTTAGCATTGATCATACCACCGACCTGAGTCCTATGTGTTTGGGTTTTGAAACTTTACTTGTAAGTAAGACAAATGGATCTTAATTTCTGTTGCTAAGTCAACAGGGGAATTTAAGGTGGCCTTTTATGTTGATTGTATTTTAAACACTTCTCTGTCTTCCAATATTTTTGAGATTTTGATGCGAACGCATGTTTTTCCTCATGATAGACAATTATGTGCGTATTTCATGTTGTGTTCCATTACAAATAACAATTAAATTTCTTTTAACAAAGTTTCTTCATTTCGTGCCTGACACTGCATTAAATTTTTTATTGCAGTCACACCCATTCTTGGTGGCATATCAACATTCTGGGGACCCGCATTGGGCGGACATACGATACTTGTTCACATAGGTCTATGAAGCCACATCTAATGCACCGGTTGTGTTGGACCAAAATTCCACCAACTAGAATGATTTAGCGAGGTTGACCGAACAACCCTACGTCTTCTCACTTTCTTTTCTCACCAATGCACCATTACATGGTTCAATAAAAAACGATGGCATTCAGCAACATCTGCCCGAGAACGTGACGCTTCA